CTCGTCGACGCACTATATTTGTTTGTTGTTTATCGCAGCAAGGTAAAAGTGAGGAGGTCCCGCTCTTCGAGTGTCCCGCGAAAGGGTTGGACTCTCCTCTCGACCTCAATCTGTACCGTTAGAGCTAAACGGAAGGAATAAACCCATCGGTGGGAGTGAAGCAAAGCCGAAAAGTCCGTGACCTAAGCGATCGACTTGTCGGTTAGTCTCACCTGAAATAAACGCTGTCGGATCCGGCTGTCCGGAGGACTAAGTTGTACAGCTCTAGCCGTCCGGCCCTGTCCACAGCCTTGCCGCTTTTTGCTGTGCTGCCACGCCTGTCCGTGCTCCTGTCGTGGCCTCTGTGTGGCTCTGTGTTCTATCTCTGTTTGGTGGCTCTGTGTGCGCTCTCGTATGCTGGGCTGTGTGCTCTGTGAGAGCACTAGACTCATTCCACGTCGTGCTGGAGTTACGTCTGACGGTCTGTAGGATGAGCTGCGGCTTTTTAGCAGAGCACACACTGACCCGGAAATCCCTCGTGCGAATACTACTGTAAGGTGAGTGAAATCAATTAATCACAGGCGATTTCCGGGTCAGTCGTTGTGCTCTGCTAAAAGCCGCAGCTATCTACAGACCGTCAGCTACTCGCAGCACAGTCGGAATTGGTCTACGCCTCACAGAGCCAACAGAGCATACAGAGCCACACAGAGCCACACAGAGCCATTTACAAGGCCACACAGAGCCACACAGACGCCACACAGGCGCGTGGCAGCACAGAAGAAAGCCGCACCCGCTGTGCAAGGCGGACGCTAAGCTGACAACTTAGTCCTCCGACTAGCCGGAATCTCCGCGACAGCCGTTATTTAGTGGCAGACTAACCGACAAGTCGATCGCTTAGTCACGGACTTTTCCGCTCTGCCTTCACTCGCATGCGGTGTTATTCGTCCGTTTAGACTCTAAGATGTACAATTGAGGGTCGAGAGAAGAGTCCAACCCCTTTTTCGACACACTCGAAGAGCCGACCTCTCACTTTTACCTTGTGCGATAAACAACAAACAAATGATAGTTCGCCCGTCAGACAAGAAAGAAGAGAGCCAATAAGTGCGTCAGACAGAAGACAACAACCGAGAAAACTTACTAGCTTTATGTGTGATGGCGGCGGACGACATTCCTCCCGCAATAACGGTAAGTCGCGTAAGCGCGTCAAGCGATGCAGCGAAGAACGGCAGCCGACTTTCAGATATTCGCCACACACAAGGTCACGCTGTGTTCCGGTTCTGCGTCTCTGCACTCCGCTCTGTTGTCAGCCCAGGCAGCCCCGCACAAGAAACCTAGTCGAACCACACGACCCGGAATATTTGCAAGGGACTAAAGGAGTCTCAGTCTGCTCTTCAAGTAGCACGGACTAGAAGCTTCTTTGCCGGCCACAGCTTCCTCGTCTTGAAGAACCTGCTCAGGACGCTCTCTAAGCCCTCCTTTTTGGTTGTTGAGTGCGGCTGAAAGGGCAGTCTAGAGACGGAAGCTCCTCCCGTTGTAGGCCGACCACTTTCGATGTTGTCTTCTCTCGGTTATCACGCAGTCTGTCTTCTGTTGTTGCCTCTTTTGAATGACGAATACACACTACCGCCGCCTGCTGGTAAGGAGCGTTATTGCCACTCACGCATGCGCAGTTCGTACGTGCTTCTTGGCCGTCGGCTGAAGTCTTTGCGGTGTGTTCCAGTGCGACACAAGGCCAAGACGCAGAGACGTGAGGCGAGACAACAGTCGGGTCCGTCGGGGCGTGTTCTTTGGGGTCAGCTTGGTGTGTCTGGGCCTTAAAATGTTCCCTGGTTTCCCTCAGAGTCGGACGAGAAGTTCATCGTCCTGATCTTCGAGAACGGCCTGGTGTCGAAGGAGCAGAACTTCCTGGACGAGATCCTGCGAGAGATCGGGAGGAAAAACAATCTCAGCGACTTCCCGTCAGATCTGCCCTTCGAGGAGGCCAACATCCGGCTGGTGAACTACAACAAGGCGTCCAAACAGAAGGAGGACAAGGTGCGTTCAGGGACACGTCACACGGGAAATAACCAAGATTTACAGGTTCAAACTACGATAGATAATGAATCATTTTACTTAAACAATAAACAGCTATATTTTTAATGACTAAATAACAAAACCCCTTATACAGTTACAACAAAGATAAAACACACCAAATAATATATTTAATTTTTCTTTGTGTAATATTTTGTTTTTTATTAAAGAGCAGATATAATAATACAGTGGTTCAAATGAAGCACTGTTTTTTCTTCCATTTTTTAAATATATATATTTTTTGTAAGTGAAATTAGTAATTTAATGTTTAAAACTGTTATTTTAATTTCCCCCTCTCTGCAGGAGAAGCCGATGCAAACCTCGCAGGGATCCCCTGTAACCGATGTAACGCCGCTGAGTCCGGTCGCCATGGCAACACGCACACGCATGTCTACCCGGCAACACAGCAGCTACTTCGATGACGAAGAGGAGGAAATGACCGACCTCCAGCACACCTTCTCCGGACCAATCATCAAGTGAGGGTTCATACTCTGCTGGAGTTTTATAAACTAATATCGAACTGTTTATACGGGAAATTAAACACTTTTTTTTGTGCTTGAGGTTAAAGTTAGTGGTCCAAAATGAATCAAAATAGTAGTTTTGTAGTCAAGACGACATTCACCAAGACCAAGTAATGAACAAGACGTTAGGGGGTCGAGACCAAGACTTTAAGAGGTCGAGACCAAGACTTTAAGGGGTCGAGACCAAGACTTTAAGAGGTCGAGACCAAGACTTTAAGAGGTCCAGACCAAGACTTTAAGGGGTCGAGACTTTAAGGGGTCAAGACTTTGTCAAGACCAAGACTTTAAGGGGTCAAGACCTTAAGGGGTCAAGACTTTGTCAAGACCAAGACTTTAAGGGGTCAAGGCTTTAAGGGGTCAAGACCAAGATTTTAAGGGGTCAAGACTTTGTCAAGACCAAGACTTTAAGGGGTCAAGGATTTAAGGGGTCAAGACCAAGACTTTAAGGGGTCAAGACCAAGACTTTAAGGGGTCAAGACTTTGTCAAGACCAAGACTTTAAGGGGTCAAGACCAAGACTTTAAGGGGTCAACACTTTAAGGGGTCAAGACCAAGACTTTAAGGGGTAGACACCAAGACTTTAAGAGGTCGAGACCAAGACTTTAAGAGGTCGAGACCAAGACTTTAAGAGGTCGAGACCAAGACTTTAAGAGGTAGACACCCAGACTTTAAGAGGTCGAGACCATGACTTTAAGGGGTCGAGACCAAGACTTTAAGAGGTCAAAACCAAGACTTTAAGAGGCCAAAACCCCTTAAATCATAAACTAGTTTTTAATGATTTAACAGCACATTTTTATGTCTTGGTCTTGACTTGTTCTCCACCTATTAAAGTCTTGGTCTTGTCTTAAGATGACGTACATATTATCTTATCTTATCTTAAGACAAGACCTTAAAAGGTGGAGGAGTCCATTTCTGACATTTTCAGGATCAAATATGGCAGTTTTAACCAGAAAATGTCAATATTTTTACCCTCTTTGTGTTAGACTTTGAAACATTTTGGGTCGATTTTGAAGATTAATGGGCTCTGGATCATTTGGATTGGACAGATTGCTTATTTATTTGAAAAACATTGTCCACAGTTGAGGTAATAAAGTTCATCTTGTGCTCTCTATATCCAATTGTTGAAACTCTACTCATGCCAATCAGTTTGTGGTCAAATGTAAAGATTTTGTTGTTTGGCATGAACAGCCATGATGTTACCTTACTGGATAATCAGTAATAATAATAATAAATTGTATTTCTAAAGCCTTTCAAAGCTAAAAGCAATCCCAAAGTGCTACAGTAGGGCATACAATACATGCATTTAAACAGTTTTTAATAAAATGTTTTGAGTCCCTTCTTAAAACACTGATGACTGTCTCCATGTAATTACTCTGTTTAACGTTGTGTTTGTGTTCCAGATTAATGGTGTACCCCCCTCCTCCAGCAAAAGGAGGGATTTCCGTCACTAACGAAGACCTGCACTGCCTTAACGAGGGAGAATTCCTCAACGACGTTATCTTAGACTTTTATTTAAAGTGAGTAAAAAAGAAAGAACCCTTCCTTTGAATGATGTCAACGTTTTTTTGGTTTTTTATTTGCATTTTAAGAAATGATTCACAAAGCATAAACACACACGAAATAAACACATCTAGGTACATACATTAACTACATAACAGTTGACAAAACCGAAATGAAAAATAAAAGAATAGACACAATTATAATACTTTTCCACCTTTCCTCAAAGATATGCATTTGGTTTCTAATCTAGTTGGTTATTCCATTGTGAGTTTAAGTTATTATCTTTTAGCCAATTCCTTGTAATTTGTTTAATGATCGCTATTCTTATCACCAAAATAGGTAGGAATCTTTTTTTATTTATTTATCAAAATCAAAATTCTGAAAAAATTCAATATTTAAGAAAAAAATTCAATATTTAAGAAAAATGTAAGTTCTTGGAAAATGTCAAAATTCTGCAAAATCGGAGAAAAAAGTAAATTCTAAGGAAAAAAGTAAATTCTAAGGAAAATGTACGTTTTTGAAGAAATTCAAAATTCTGGAAAAAAGTCAATATTTAAGAAAAAATGTAAATTCTTGGAAAATTCTGAAAAATCTGAGAAAAAAGTAAATTCTAAGGAAAATGTTACGAAGACATTCAAAATTCTGAAAAAAAAAAGTAAATTCTGGGGGAAAAAGTCAATATTCAAGAAAAAAGTAAATTCTTGGAAAAATTCTGGGAAAAAAGTAAATTCTACGGAAAATGTCAATTTTTTAAAGAAGTCTGTTTCTGCCAACTCCTTGTAATTTGTTTAATGATCGCTATTCTTATCTCCAGAAATAGGTAGGAATCTTTTTTTTGAATTTCCCCAGTAATAAAGTGAAAGCGTTGTTGTTGAGAGAAAGGCCAAAGATATCGGACATTTCTCTTAAAGCTGTTTCCACGAAGTCTCCCAAAACTGAATGATATGAAACGTTGAGTGATTCCTTTGTTCTGTCTGCGCCAGATATTTAGTTTTGGAGAGATTAAAAAAAGAGGACGCTCAGAGGATCCACGTCTTCAGCTCCTTCTTTTACAAAAGACTGAACCAGAGGGAGAGGAGGAACGCTCCGGAAACCAGCAACCTGCCGTGAGTCTCCACGGGAAATATCTGTAGCTTATTTATTATAATTATTATTAGGGATGTCCCGATCACCTTTTTTTGCTCCCGATCCGATTCCCATCATTTGATTTTGACAATTTGCCGATACCGATTTTTCCCGATCCGATCTTTATGCA